GACAGCTCCACGTAGCGGCCCTGTCCATCACTGGTGCCATGCGCAGGCGTCATCTGTCGGTCATGGCGTTCCATTTTGTCGCAGCGGACGTCGTGGTCAGCTGACGCGCCTGTCAGCGTCCGTACGGGAGTTAGGCAGAACAACACCGGTATGCCTGACGTTGTTCCTGATGTGAATCCTTAGGTATGGCCCGTCGTGGCCACGGGTTACATCGGGGCGTGCCGGTCTCTTCCTTGCTATCAGAGTTTTGACCTAGGCCCATACGCTTGGACCTGGAGTGGTTGGCGGCCGTATGGGTCTCCGTCGGGCGAGACGGAGCCCGCCCCCAGAGGTCGAGCGAGGCGGAGCACGAACCCAAGGGTCGGGCGAGGCGGAGCCCGCAGCCTTGGGTCGGGCGAGGTGAAGCCCGCCCCTAGAGGTCGGACAAGGCGCAGCGCAAACCCAAGGGTCGGGCGAGGCGGAGCCCGTGGCCTCGGGGTCGGGCGAGGCGGAGCACGGACCCAAGGGTCGGGCGAGGCGAAGCTTGCACGTCTGGGGGTCGGTTGGAGCTGTAGTCGCACTCTTGACTGCTCGGATGAATCAATGTTGATGGTCATTAGCTCCTTCTCTTCGGGTACCCTAGTATTGATCCCCGACAACCATGTTTGAAGACTCCATAGCTAAAATAATCTAAAGTTTAGCGGTTAAACTTTATATGATGGGATCTTAAAAGACCCTGAATTAATCCACGAGCGACCCTACGTGCTGTCATCATGCTGTTAAGTGCAATTACTTATAACGTCAGCAACCAATGCAAACAGACTGACTGGCATAGCACACGCATGCATGCTCATAAGGATCGGAACTACATTTCGGCAATGACCCTAAAAATACGCAAATCCATGCATGTACAACACAACAACCCCTACAAGTCGCCAATTCTAAATTGATTCAGTGCATACTACGAACATAATCTGACTGAACCATAAGTAATTGCACTTGTCAGATGTGTGTCGCCCATGTCGTTTTGCCACCGGCCCCACATGTCAGCCGACGACGACGACCAAGATAGTTTTGACGCCAATTGATTTTGTTTGTGCGCATCGAGGTCGCTGAAAAATAGATTTGGTTCCCCTCTAACGGTCGGAAGTGAAGTTCCAAGAAGCACGCAGCACGCCCTCTTGCAACTTCTCTACTGTGTGTAACTAGTAGGAGAAAAAAATAATCATAAGGTAGTAATGCACAGTTACTTGTACTATATTACTACTAACAGTACAGTCCAAGAGCATTAGGTACAGTGATTAGTTACAAATTCAACCTTGCCATCTCATGTTCTTACTTGCTTGCATTGCCTGGTATTAACTTTCTTAAAACCATTTCAACCTAAACTAGCTACAGGAAAGAAAAAAAAGGGAACTTAATATGCATTTTCTTTATATATATTTTTTGGGTGAGACGGCATATTTCTTATACTGCTGTTAAACTTGTTGAAAAAATAATGATCTGATCTTGATTTGTTGTAAGAGAAAAAAATCATTATTTCATTTGAAAGCAGATGCACGGTGATAAGTTCAATGACAGAGCCCTTAATTCCACGAAACTAAAGGGTGAAATAAAAGGGCATGGCATATGGGCCTCTTTGAGCTTTGTCGGTGATTAAAGAGAACAAAGGTGATTACGGGCACACTTGCTTAATAAAGCTAACTAGAAACTGTGTGTGAATCTAATCTAAGCAGGATTAGAAGAAGTGGTGTCTACTCCATCTCGAGACTTGCCAATGGGAACAGAGGAAAGCACCATCACGTGCGCTAAGGGCGCGACGGCTCTCCCGCGCGAGCCGCCGTCAGGGCGTCCGAAGCTTTGCTAACGGCACCGTCAAGGTGCGGCGCGGGCCCACATGCCAGGGCCGGCGAGTGGCTGTGTGGTACCGCTACGTGCACTGTGCTCACCTCATCCAGGGACAGAGATACGTACTGATGTAGCCATGTGGGAGTAGTAGGTCTAGACCCTTTTGGCAATTTCTTTGGCTTCCTTTTCTTTGTAGCCATGGTTGCTTGCGGCTGCCACTTGTGTTGGGAAAAATCCGAGCAAAGTTGTTCGTTGCAAAGAGAGACGAAAGACTACTCATGTTATTTTGTGCATCATCTAGATTGGGGCGACAAAGAATATGTGGACAAGGTCGACGTAGATCAGCCCGTTTTTGTTTCTTTGCATTGCCAAGACGGCGGCGGATTGTGGATTACAGCGGCGATGATGCTGCCCGTGCCGATCGATAATGGTCATCGTCAACAAATTTAAAGCGGAGATATTGAAGATTTCATGCATGCTATTTCATCGCCTCTCGAGTTTTATGAGGATAGGATTGTTGCAGACATGTAGAGGTATGGAACATTGCAGCTATACTGCACATAATGTTACAAAGCATCGTTGTCATGCTTTTCTCCTTTGTTGCCACAAAGCATCCAAGCAAAAATTCTCTACATAAATGAACATATAGTTTCCATTCCATAGCCCGTTCGTCTCGCGCCTAATACTATCCTCTAATCAACCCTAAACCCACGTCAATATATATCCTAGACCAACCCAAAGCCACGTCAAAAAAGAGAGGAAAAAAGAGCTAAAGCAGATTGCAACCCTAGTTAGAAGTAGGAAGAAGTGTAGAACAGCCAACAGCCTCACACGTATGGATGAAAACGGTACGGATATTTATTCGACCGTCCGTTCGACCGAATAAATATGAACACTTATCTGGATAGTTACTCGGATATCCGGGTTTTTTTTCGGATACGGATACTAAAACGGATATCTTAGGCGGATATCAAATACGGATGTAATATCATCGATATCCGGCGGATATCGGATAATCCGGATAAGTATCGGATATATCCGGATATTTAAAAACGGATATTATCCGGATATTTATTCAAAATTTAAAAATCACAAATTTGAACCATCCAAACTATCTCAAATGGAAAGTTGACCAAAACAACAATTGTAGATCTTGATGAGTTGAACAAACTTGGTATTTAAAACTTTTCAATTTGAAGTCATTTAGAGTTCATAATACTAGAGTCAAAGTGTTGTTTTTTTATTTGACCAAATTTGACTTGGTCAAACTTGCTCAAATGAGACACTAAATGACCTCAGATGAAAAAACTCTGAATACCAAGTTTGATCATCTCAGCAAGATCTACAATTGTTACATAGCTCATTTTTCCATTTGAGAAAGTTTTATCAAACACTAGTCATAAATTCTTGTATCTCATATAGACTTTCTGAAACTATGTCACACACTTGTGAAATTTGAACTATATTTTGTTCAAACTTTCTCAAATGAAAAAATGGCCTATATAAGGATTGTATATCTTGATGAGATGAACAAATTTGGTATTCAAAACTTTTCAATTTGAGACAATCTAGGGTTTCGAAAACTAGTTTGTAAACGTCAAAATTTAAAAATCATAAATTTGAACCGTCCAAACTATCTCAAATGGAAAGTTGACCAAAACAAAAATTGTAGATCTTAATGAGTTGAACAAACTTGGTATTCAAAACTTTTCAATTTGAAGTCATTTAGAGTTCATAATACTAGAGTCAAAGTGTTGTTTTTTTATTTGACCAAATTTGACTTGGTCAAACTTGCTCAAATGAGACACTAAATGACCTCAGATGAAAAAACTCTGAATACCAAGTTTGATCATCTCAGCAAGATATACAATTGTTACATAGCTCATTTTTCTATTTGAGAAAGTTTTATCAAACACTAGTCACAAATTCTTGAATCTCATATAGACTTTCTGAAACTATGTCACACACTTGTGAAATTTGAACTACATTTTGTTCAAACTTTCTCAAATGAAAAAATAGCCTATATAAGGATTGTATATCTTGATGATCTGAACAAACTTGGTATTCAAAACTTTTCAATTTGAGACAATCTAGGGTTCCGAAAACTAGTTTGTAAGCATCGAAATTTAAAAATCACAAATTTGAACCGTCCAAACTATCTCAAATGGAAAGTTGACCAAAACAAGAATTGTAGATATTGATGAGTTGAACAAACTTGGTATTCAAAACTTTTCAATTTGAAGTCATTTAGAGTTCATAATACTAGAGTCAAAGTGTTGTTTTTTCATTTGACCAAATTTGACTTGGTCAAACTTGCTCAAATGAGACACTAAATGACCTCAGATGAAAAAACTCTGAATACCAAGTTTGATCATCTCAGCAAGATATACAATTGTTACATAGCTCATTTTTCCATTTGAGAAAGTTTTATCAAACACTAGTCACAAATTCTTAAATCTCATAAAGACTTTCTAAAACTATGTCACACACTTGTGAAATTTGAACTACATTTTGTTCAAACTTTCTCAAAATGAAAAAAATGGCCTATATAAGGATTGTAGATCTTGAATCCATGACCATGACTCCATGAGACCCATGAAGCAATGTGCTTGGCTATTTCTACTCATGCCGCGAAGATTGATGCTTATATGATGTTTGATGTATGATGTATCTGTATCTTTATCTTATTTGTTGCTTTACTCTTTAGTCTTTCGGCTTAATCTAGATGGATTATGGACTCATAGAGTGGTGTAATGGTTTATGCATTATGATATATATATATATATATATATATATATATATATATATATATATATATATATATATATATATATATATATATATATATATTTGCTTTACTCGATATCCGAATAGATATTTGTATCCGACCTTCTAGAATCCGATTCATACCGTATTCGATACTCATTATTCGTATCCATAACCGAAAGTCAATCCAGTGATTCGTATATGTATCCGAACGCTATCCGTGTCCGAATCCGAATCCGAACAGAAATATGAAAACAAATATAATATGAGTGATATCCGTTCGTATCCGATCCGTTTTCATCCCTGCTCACACGCCAAAAGCCCAAGAAGCCGCACTAGTGCACTACTACTACTAGCACTGGCAGCAGTCTGGCAGTAGTGCAGGGGAGGTGGTGGTAGGCTCACCGATGGCGGTGACGGGAAGCCTGGCAGTCCACTGGTAACCGTATAAACCCCCCGCAGTCCTCACTCCCGCTGCTTCACGCAGTCGGCGCCTCCATTCTGCTCCCCGTCTTCTTCCGCGCAGCCCCCTCGGCTTCCCATATATTGGCGCGCAGCTCCACGCCCTCGCCGCTGCGGCTCCTCAGTCCTCAGTCCTCACACCGCTATCGAAGCGCCTGCCTTGCCTGGGGCTCCTTCTCTAGGAGGGGGGCTCGAGGTTCCACCAATTCGCCAACAGGTCCCTGCCATCCCCGCCATCCATGGACACCAAGAAGCAGGGCTTCTTCTCCGCGCTGCGGGAGGAGGTGGCGCGCGGGCTGTCGCCGGGCCGCGCGCGGCGGCGGTCGGCGTCCAACGCCGCGGAGGTGGCGGCGGCGCTGCGCGCCGCCTCGGTGGGGCCGGCGCCGGGGAGGCGCTCGCGCCGCTCATGGAGGGCCCGGATCCGGAGGCGTGCCCGGGCGCGAACTGCGGCGGCGCCGGCGCGCGGAGGGAGGGGTGGGGTCAGTGGGTGCGCGGCCAGTTCCAGCTCGCGCGCGCCCCGGCGGGGGCGGCAGGTGCCGGGGCGGACACCGGGGCCGCCGCCGCCGCCAGGCGGAACGACCTCAGGCTGCTGCTCGGCGTCATGGGCGCGCCGCTCGCGCCCGTGCACGTCTGCGCCGCCGAGCCGCTGCCGCACCTCAGCATCAAGGACACCCCCATTGTAAGAACTACTAAGAACCAAGCTCCCTGCGCAGTCCATGCTTTCGCTTGCGTGCTCCTGCTCTAGATTGGACCCAACCGGGTGGGTGCTCGTTGAAATTCCCGAGCCGAAAAAGTTGCGCGTTTGGGGGTCGCGGCGTCGAGATTTGGGGTTCTTGGTAGCTACTAAATGCGCCTCCTTGTGGCTCGGATTGCTGTCTTAGTAGGATTCCTGAGTTCCCTGCTCCAGTTTGCAGTCCGAAGCTTTTGTCCCATGTTTCCTCTGACATTTTGCTCGGCAAACCTTGTTGGCTTGGCTCTCTAGGGGAAACACTTGCTGCAAAATATGGGGGCTCTTGATGTGATGTGTTTTGGAGAGTTCTTGCATTTCCTAAAATATTGCCATCTGAGCACATTGCGGCTGTAAAGGTTTCTTTCCTTACCTGTTGTGATATGACAGGCAACGGACGTTTCCAGTAACTGTTTTTTGGAAATTATTTGCTGTAAATAATGATTAGCTGTAAATTTTGGTTTTTTGTTACTAGTGTACCGATTACAGCTGTGTAACGGTGTTGATGTGTTCTACGCAGGAGACCTCGTCGGCGCAGTACATCCTGCAGCAGTACCTGGCTGCCTCCGGCGGGCAGAGGCTGCTTTCCTCTATCCGGAACTCGTATGCCATGGGCAAGGTGAGGATGGTGGCTACCGAGTTCGAGACCGGTGGCCGCGTCGTGAGGAACCGCATGGTGGCGCAGCGCGCCGAGCCTGGCCGCTTCGTGCTGTGGCAGATGGCACCGGAGATGTGGTACATTGAGCTGGCTGTCGGTGGGAGCAAGGTGCACGCCGGCTGCAATGGCAAGCTTGTGTGGCGCCACACCCCATGGCTCGGCGCACATTCCGCCAAGGGCCCTGTTCGCCCGCTCCGCCGCGCTCTTCAGGTATTATAGCGGCCGTGTTAACCGGTTTGGTCATCATGTCTGTAAGCTGTGTTCTCTGTTTCGGAGGAACACAAATCTGACTGAAACTTTGTTCTTCCTTGTGTGCTTAGGGTCTGGATCCATTGACTGCAGCAAGCATGTTTTCTGGTGCAAGGTGCATTGGCGAGAGGAAGGTGAATGGGGAGGATTGCTTCATCCTGAAGCTTTGTGCTGATCCTGAGACACTGAGAGCACGCAGCGAGGGGCTTGCGGAGATCATCCGGCACGTCCTCTTTGGGTACTTCAGCCAGAAGACTGGGCTTCTTGTCCATCTTGAGGACTCACACCTCACCCGGATCCAGTCAACAACCGGCGGAGATGCAGTTTACTGGGAGACTACCATCAATTCGTTCATCGAGGACTACCGCCCGGTGGAGGGTATTATGATAGCACATTCTGGGCGCTCAGCTGTGACCCTCTTCCGTTTCGGGGAGGCGGCCATGGGCCACACCAAGACCCGTATGGAGGAGGCATGGAGCATCGAGGAGGTTGCGTTCAATGTCCCAGGCCTCTCCATGGATTGTTTCATCCCGCCCACTGATATCAAGTCCGGATCTATCAGTGAGACTGTTGAGCTTCCACAGGGTGAGAAGAGCAAGGTCAGCCTTCTCCCATGCCATCGTGCTAAGGTTGCGGCTCTAGAGAAGGCTGATGATAACGTCGTGTGGAGCGGAGCCCTACAGCTAGATTGCAAGTGATTGGTAGCCCGCCCGCTCATACGCGCCTTCTTGCATTCCAACTGACTGATTTTGATGGATGTAGGGTAGAGAGACAAGAGAGCTAAGGAGGATTTGGAGCTTTACCATTCCAAATTTCCTCTGTAAATAGGAAGCTTAAGGGCACTCACATGGCCTTCCATATCCCAGAGGAGGCCCTGTGTGAAGAATCCTGTCTGATCTCATCCGGAGGATTTGGTAGTAGGTAGTCTTGTCTGTAACTTTGTGTCTTTCTTCTGTCGGTACCTCATGGACGAAAGAACCAGGGGGTGTTCTTCTCCGTCCAGCCACATGATATGGATCTTAGTGGGTGGTGCTTCTTTCTGTCATTAGCCAATACTAATCATCGGAGGCCAGCGAGGAAGAAGGATTTCTTTGCGGGCAATTGAGAGTGTTTTTCACCGTCGTCGTCGTGGTTGAGTCTGATTAGCAGCTGTCCAGTATGCTTTGGTTGGTGATTAGTCTGTGGTCAAACTAACTTTTAGGGGGAGGCAAATTATGTAAGCTGTGGGTGTCCTGACCGGGGGTCAGGCTGTGTACCCTTTTCCTTCACATCTCTTATTTAGTATGAGATGGTGGTTGTATTCTACAGAAGTTTGATGTAAGCCAAAACTTCTATGAATATCATGGCTTGAATTTTTTTCTTAATCTTTTGGCTGCCCACTCCCTTCATCTTTGTGCCGTTTGCTGTTGCACGCTAAAGCCAGTGATATTAGCTTTTGTGAAATGTTATATTGTCATCAGTATCATAATGTGGCATCAGTGTATCATTTTCTCCCCCAGCTTGCATTCAACTTTGGTCTGGAGTATGTTGGGGAGGTATGATTCATTAGTATGATGGCATGTGGTCCCCATGTGCTTCACCTCAGGTGCGGTGGTGCATATATATACAAGTATTTGTCTTCCTTATGAGCTGTGATTAGCTAGCTTTGCCACTTTGCTTTGTGGCTCCATTCCCTGAGAAGCTTCAGGCTTCCAGCTCCAGCACCGCTATCACCTTCATGCCGTTTGCATTGATGGCCTTGCCTTGCCTGCGCCCATCTTTCTTCATGGAAGCAATTGTTTTATGCTTAGGGCTGTGTGTTCTCCTTGGGGGAAAGGGACCATTGTGTAAACTAAATAAAGTAGCTGTACGAGTACTCTCATCTCCCTGGCTCCTTGTTCAGTCAAATTCTTGAAGATTGGAGCTGTGCATCAATACTTGCAGAAGTAGTTTTTTGTTGGTGTGCTAGCTTGCATAATGACCGTAGGATCAGTTGGGAATGGATGGTTCCCAAATGCTAAAAATTAGCACAATGTTTAGATGCTAATTAGAAGGATCAAATGTGAACTAATTTCAAAACTAATTGCATAAGCGGTGGCTAATTGGCGAGACAAATCTATTAATCCTGATTAGCCTATGTTTACTGTACTAAATTCATACGAAAAAAATTCTAGCCGTTGAACTCTTGTCAAGTTTCTTCGTTTTCTGAGCCTTACGGGAAAGGAACTATTCCGTATTAAATCCAGGCCGTACGTTGAACTCCAAACTGTGCACTTCCATGCATGGTGCAACAGTAGGTTCGAAGTTCGAACAAAGCATGATCTCATCAGGCTCCTACATACGAGTTTGACAATGAGCCGCCCAACCTACGCGCAAAGGCTACAAAAAGGTTGGTACAAGAAAGCACGCAAGAGCAATGCCAATCAAATCTACTACTCGCTTTAACACCAATTGCAGAAAACAGGGGAGCGAAGACCCTCTTTGGCACGGCCGTGCGTATCTTCTTCAGCTTATCTTAACGATATGCTGTTTCCCGCATCTATTTTTTTTTTTCTGTTTCTTCTCTCAAAACGTCGGGAAGCCGGTGAAGCTACACTTTCTTAGCCTTCACCGGCTCATGGAAGCTGTTGCTACTACCGTGCTAGAATGTGAAGAAGCTCAAGCCGCAGAAAACTGCACCAAAAACAAAAAGGCCCTAAATTCTTTTTTTTTCGAAAAAGCAAGAGGCCCTAAATTCTTGATGATAATATCATCCATTTCATCCACACAGGAAACACACAGGGCCTACGAGGATAGATGTATCAGACACCCATCCGAATGTGAATGAGAAGAAATTCAGTGATACGCCACGCGCGCCTCACCGAAATCCACCACACTGACTCACATGAATCCAGCAAAGATTCCGCAGCTTTCCGCGAAACGGTTTCGCTGCGTCTCCAAGGGCAAAGGGGACTCAACCGCTCGATCAAGGACCACGCGCCGCGACCCAGCGAGCGAGCGGACGAGCGGGGTCACACACAGGAGCAATCGAAGGGTTGTTAGGGAAGACTGACACGGCAGAAATCCGGATGAATCAATCAATCATGCATGCAGTGGAGCGGGAGGGTAGGGCACCGCATTGCTCACCCTTTTGACTTGTTGGGGGTGGTGACAGTGGCACCGCCATGGCATGGCAATGCAAAAGTCTTGCTCGTAAAGGTCAGGATGGAAAAAGTTGGAAAGGTCCCCCGGCCGGCAAAGAGGCGCCACCTTTAGCCGGTCCTCCCCTCTGGTGCTAGTGCAATTGTAGGGCGCTTTGTTCAGAGCTGATATTCCCATTCCATGGCGTCTCTGGCCACGGCTGAACAGAGTTCTGTTCAGGTCGTTGCTGGTGTGGTGACTGGTGAGGGTGAGTCCGTGGGAACAGAAAGAAATTACCTGGGCAGTGAGTGAGCAGCAGAGTGATCTTTCTGAGGTCACTGTGAATCAAAGTGACCCGGACAGTTAGTCAGAGATCTGATCAAGAGATGCCTCCAGCCTCTGTCCTCCGGGGTACGGTAAAGTAAAGAGTGGTTACCATCCCTCAAAAAAAAAGAGTGGTTACCAGCTAAAGGTGGTCCGGTAACAAAACTATTGTAACAAATCAAAGCGCGAGCGAGCGAGCGAGTAAGCCTGAAGCGTTGTGCTGTGCAGGCACTCTCGGCTGTAAAGCGCATGCAGGACTGCAGGTATGTGATGCAGCAGCAGAAAAGGTCGGTCTAATCTCGCTCGCTGCAGAGTGAGAATGTCTCGGGAGTTTTCATTAGGGGAAAGATGCAGAAGAATCTTATCGTGCTCATGCCTGCCTGCCTTTTCTTGACCCGTTCGTTTGGGTTTGTTTGGCTGATAAGTCATGGCTGAAAGTACTGTTGGCTGATTTGGTGTGAGAGAAAAATACTATTCATTAGCTGAAAAAGTACGACTTATAAACCAAATAAGCCCAAACGAACAGGGTGATGGTAGCTGCGTGATTACATGTGGGGCGAGAAGTATGGAATCAGTAAGCACGTCTTGTTTACTGGTAGTGGTTAGCCAAGAGGCCGTCTTGTCTATTTACAATTAACTGTAAATCTATCACTGCTTCCGTGAGGAGGTGATCGAGTTGGTTGGTGAATGAAAATGGACAGGGCAGAGGGCACTCGGCACTCCTACGCTACGCACCAAACACAGTGGGAAGGAAGAACGACGAAGAACAGGTTCTTTGGCAACTGGATAGCACTATCACCGTCGTAGAGCAGCAGCAGCATCCAATGCAGGCCATGTTTACTTGGCCATCGAATCGGCTCCGCCCGATTTCATGGCGCTACAGTAACGTTTTGTTTTTATTTGATAATAATTGTCCGATCGTTGATTAATTAGGCTCAAAACGTTCGTCTCGCAAAGTACAACCAAACTGTGCAATTATTTTTTGATTTCGTCAACATTTAGTACTCCATACATGTACCGTAAATTTGATGTGACGAGGAATCTTCTTTTTCACAGTGCCAAATTCAGGAATTAGGGGCAACTAAACAAGGCCGCAGCTACTGGTGTCTACGTCAGGAAAGACAAGGCCTCACCTACTGCTCTTGCATGAGCTGCCGCGTTAGCTTGCTGTTCAGCTGCGCAGTGTCGTGTCTGGCCGGGAATTGGATCCCATTCAGACCATCTGTTCATATAGTTGTGTATGTTCAACTATTCTTCGAGTAGTCCTATGCTATTCTGCACTTGAACACTCGAAGATGATTACCAAGTGAAGTGGTCCCTGAAGAATAAAAGGGTGTTTACTATCTTCAGCTAGCGAAAACAGAATGCCAACCATAGATTTGGTGATAAAATATTAGGGATAATTATCAATATCCTAAAGTCCAGGTTGTTCCGAGGAAATAGCTAGTAATCGACAGTTGAACAATTGAAAGCTAAAGTCCAGGTTGTTCCTTTGTAACGGGTTAAACCAACTCATGTACGGCTAAGAGAAGAACCCACTGCCACTTAGATAAAAGCAACGGTAAGAAAAGAAATTCAGATTAGAATCAACAGTTTTTATATAAATTGGTGGAACTGAAAAAAAAAACACTTCAATGGCCATAACGTGAACATTGTAAATTTATAATGCACACCCAAAGAGAAAAAAAGTATGGAAATTGAAAATAAAATGAAACAACAATTTATGTGAAAAAAAATGAAAATGGAAGAAAAGAACAGGAAAAAATAGAACGACAGGATACAAACTGGGCCTAAAGAAAAAGATAAAGACAAGAACGAGAAGACATAAATGGGCCGAAAACAAAGCCGAAGCCTACAGAGTACAGAGAAAAGCACATATGACAGAAAGGCTAGAATTTTTCCTAGACAACAAGATGGGCTGAAACATAAAATAGAGCTGACAACACGCGAGCGATACGTGGGGATATACGAGTTCGGTGCAAGCCCAAATCGTTAAGTAAATCGAATGTTGAAGTTTTGATCGAAATGTCAATAAATGATGGAGCGGCCGGGCGTCCGTCCGAACAACGAGCGAGCAGCGAGCGCCGTAGCGTGTTAGGCTCGTGAGCGAGCGCCCCAACAGCGCCCACGCCACTAACCGCTTTGCACGCGCATCTCATATACAACACCTAATCTATTTTAGAAATATTCAGATGCAATAGTTGCAATATACAAAAGAAGACAGAAGAAACACTTGAAACAAGCGTACGAAACACTATAAAAACGCCTGAAAATTCTTGAAAACCATTACAAACATATGCAACATCCAGATAAAACACTTGCAACATACGTATAAAACACCTGAAATACTTGAAACATATGCTTGCAACATGCAGATCTCCTTTTGCAACATCAGACAAAACACTTACAACACACGTCTGCAACAGATTAAACATTTGAAACATACACTTGAAACATACGCGTAGCCATTACAACATGTGCAATATCTCGGTCTACTTTTGCAACATCGATATACAACGCTTGCAACATACGTCCTGAACAGAATGCACATGCTCGCGACCAAGTCCTCTTCGGGTGTGTTTGGCTTGAGGACGAGGGTGGATGGGATATGTCCATCTATGGATTTTGAAATATACATATCCATGTTGTCTGTTTGATTAGATGGATGGAGCAAACTATTTTTTTTAGATGGATGAGATTGCATAGAATGAATAATTATATCTATTATTTAAAAATAATAACATCTAATTATACCTAATAAATATGCACTGACACTAATCTTGTCATTATAATCACTAATTAAAAATAAAATATGCTAATTAGCACTATACTACTCTAATTGTCACGCAAAACCTGCGCTAATTAACACGTGGATATCCTCGTCCGTCAGATTTTTAAGGACCAGAATATCCAGCATATATCTAGAATATTCCTGGTTCGGATATTCAGGTTCAGCTTGTACATCGAATCAAACACCCTATATTAATGCCTATCCATGTTCCATCCATGCATATGCATGCAACCAAACACACCCTCCGTCTTCGCCGGAGCCGTCCAGTTGGAGCTGGACCGCCCTCGCGCTGCTTCCCACCTGTCCGGCACCGCCGCCGTTGTGCTACGGTATGCATATGCATGCCCTTCGATCCGATCGATCCACTTCCTTCTCTCCATGTCCCTCGTTAGCTGTCTAATCGATTTACATGTCCTGCATTTCTGCTTGACTTTAGCTGTCTAATCGATTTACTTGAAAAAATTATACTACATATGCCAGTGATGGCGAGACTAGCGAGTGCACATCTCTAGATGTTTGCATAGTGTGAATGTTTTCTTCTCTACTGACGATTGACCATGCATGCTACATTTTCTTCACAACAATCACTAGAATGGGAGAAACCAGCAGCAGCTGCCATGGTGATGGTGCTGCCGGGCAGTAGCGGCTCTGCTGCAGATAGCAACCGGCGGAGCGATGAACAGGACGGCGATTACAAGGCCGCCAAGAAGTACTTTGACAGTCTTGTGCGTGATGCTGCCTGGACCTCCGATGAACAAGATGACGATCACAAGGCCGCCATCAAATGCTTTGACAGTCTTGCCCGTGATGCCGCCAGGATCTGCTTCGTTTGGAGCTACGACGCTATTCCTCTGACGAGTCGTCAGTGTAACATCTATATATTTTTGCACTCTCTTCATTCTCTAGTAGTACAATCTTGGAATCAATACATGATTCCAATTTCCAATCGACCACTGAAGGCGATTTATATATAATCTTATTGTGCCTTGTTATTGCAGCTGATGATCCACCTCCGACATGAATGAGAAGGTCTGTTACGGATCCTGTATCAAGCCCAAGGACTCTGCTGGAGAAAGAGAAGAGCCCAAGAAGCAGGAGGCCCGCCAAGATGTTTGGGCCTGAATGGCTTAATCAGTAGAATAGCCCAGTTGCATCTGGGGAGAGGCTGACGCTAGCCGGTTCAGTTGTAACCAGGGATGAAAACGGTATGGATATTTCCGACCGTATTCGAAACCGAATCCGTTTAGAGGGGTTGAGATCTGTCCGTATCTGAGTCCGGATATCCAACATCCGATACCGTATCCGTATCCGAATACTCAAATCGCATATTTATGATGTCGATATCCAATCGTATCCTATCCGACATAGTTGACACTATCCGTATTCGAATCCGAATCCGGACAAAAATATGAAAACAAATGTAATATCGATGATATCCGTCCGTATCCGATCCGTTTTCATGTTGTAACAACTTAACTATCGTTGCTGTAAGAGGAGAAAACAGATTTGGATGCTCCGGTCTGTTGGCGGCGAACTGCGGCTCGAGATCGCCGGAGACATCCTCGTCCACTGCTACCTATCCGTACTATTAATCGAGAGATATCATAGATCGTAACAATTGGGAGTCTAGATCCTGGCGCACGACCATCGCACTCGTCTTCAAGTCACCATGAAAGTGGAGGAGCAGTTCACACTGATCCTTTCGAAGCTTGATGAGCAATCGAAGAGGATCTCGGAGAGCAATCAGCGGCTCAACGAGGTTCGGGAGTCGGTGGCGGATCTGACGGCAGCGAAGGGCGACTTCGATCTCTGTAAGCCCGAAGTCGACAAGGAAGTCGCCGATCTCTGCACTAGCATCGACAACCTTCGCCATCAACTCCAGACGTTGCAACCCCCGTCGACCGCGGATCCTCCCCCATTGGTGACGGATGCTTCTATCTCCACCAAGACATCGGCGCCCGGGCATCTGGGTGCTTCCTCATAAGAGGTGGCGTCTCGGCAAATTTGCCACGGCGATGACAACATTCACCAGTGTGTCGGTGAATTAAAACTCCTAAAAACCTATTTTTAATCTTAGAGAATTCATTTAAAAGGTTTTAACTACAAAACTGAAACCAGTTTCGGATCTCCCTAACATCAAGCTCTATATTATGGCGTCTAGTTTGGAATTATTTGAATATTCCAGACTAATTTTGGTGTTTATTTGCAAGTGAATGCTTTCAGTACGTATTATAATTATTTGTCGACATTGATTTGACAATCCAAACTACACAAAAAGTTTAAGTAACTAAGACAACAACACATGTGTAATGTAACTACATCAAACTTGATTCTACTTAAGATGAACACAAGTATCACCCCCATGTTGTCTACACTAACGTGATCATAGGAGTACATAGAATCAAGTGGCACTAACAAGATCAAATGGCACTTGTATTCATACTAAATAGAATCAAGTATGATGTGGTCACATACTTTTGCCATGCTAAAACAAAATTCTATGAATTTTCTAAGATTATATGATATTTTAGGATTTTTTTTATCACATATTTTTCTGGGAAAAACATTTGGATAACTTTTTACAAATAAAAATTTGTTTGTACTCCAATTTATCCCTGAAAATCAATGTAGTCTGTTTTACCCTTTTGGCGGTTGATGCGGCGCCGCATAGGATGGCTAACTAGCCCCACGTTAGATAAAAATGCTGTCTAAACCATCCATGGTGAAAAAATGGGTTTTAAAAGTTAAGGAGAGGTAAAATTCTGGTTTTATAGATGGAGGAGAAAAATCTGATGGGTTCATTTCTACCTTTTTCCGCGAAGAAATGTCCCACAGGGATGCTTTTTCTGGGCCGCAATAGGACAGCTCCAACTGTTATATGGGCCCATTAAGGCCTTTCGATATGCAATGGCAAGCCTTTTCCTCTTTGTGCTGTTACCTCGTGAGCGTGAGCATCTTGGCATTGCTTGCCACTTAAGTAAGATCAAAGATCCATTTTTGTTTCTAAAAGAGAAACATCAACGATCCTCTTAAAACTGAAAGAGGACAAAACAGAGATGGAAGAACAGACAAAGGTTAGAGTCAAAGTGGAGGGAGCCTCATTAGCATGATGAATCTCTTTGGGGCTTTGTGAGGAGTCACTAGCAAGGTCATCTTTGTGCTAATCATGTACTAATCACCGTATTTGAGCATCAGATTCACTGACCACGCTCTTCCAATTTTGAAAAGTTTGTTTCTCCTCCATCCTCTTCCACACCGCTTGAAGTTTGTGGCGAAGAAAACACGGTAATTTTTTTTTTTTAAAAAAAGCTCCCCAAGAACCCTAGTACCCTACTGCAGTCGTGTTCACCTCTCTCTCACACACAAACACACCCCTCTCTCTCATGCAGTCGGTGTTGCAGTGCATCAGCCTTTGTTCAGGCATCAGAGAGCACTACACGGAGCCAGGTCCTTTCACATGCCCACACACAGCCTTAACGCTGCTCCTCTGCTGCTCCCTTCAAGACAAGGCCAGTAGAAACCAGCTCACCTCGCTCTCAGCTCTTCTTCCCCCTCACTTCTCTCTTCTCTCTCACTCACAGACTCACACTGCAGAGCCCGAGTGTAGACCAGACCGCGGAGCGCAGACGAGCAGGTTCCTCCGGTCCGTCCTCCCCATGGCCCCTCCCCGCCTCCTCCAGCTCCTCCTCCTCGCCGCCGCCATCACGGCCGCCTGGTCCCAGTCCCAGTCGCCGGCCGCCGCACCGTCTGTCTCCCGCTCCGGCGCCGCCGCGCATTCCCCCACCTCATCCTCCTCCTCTACCGCCGCCGCCGCCCCAAGCCCCTCCTCCTCCAAGAACAGCCCCATCTCCACCTCGCCCGCCGCGTCCCCGTCCCAGTCCAGCCACGCCGGCACCAAGCTCACCTCCCCGGCCGCCTCCCCGCGCCGACCCACTCCCCGTCCCCACCGACGCCGCCCACCCCAGCCCCCATCAGCTCCACCCAGCCGCCAGCATTGCCGCCCGCGGCCACGGCGCCGGCGCCCGTCGTGAGCGTGAGCGCTCCTCCTCCCGCCGCCGCGTCCTCCCCGCCGGTCCCCGCACCGACGCTCCCTCCCCCGGCCCCAGCGCTGGCCCCCGCGCCGTCGTCGTCGCCTCCGGCCCCGGCGCCCGTCCTCCTCGCCGCGCCCGCGCCGGTCGTCACGGCGCCCGCGCCTAGCAAGAAGCCGACGAAGAACAAGCACGCGGCTGCGGCCCCCGCGGCTGCCCCGCTCGCCGCCGCGTCCCCGGCCACGACCACCGGCGCCGGCCTCGCCCCCGGCCCCGGGCCCTCCACTGCCGACATGATGGTACGTGACCACTGGCACCTCCCTCTCCCACGTACTGTTTGCTCCTAGAGCAACGGCAGGCTAGCCGCACTTGCACTTGCACATCCGCACGTGTCACGACCGCAGCCGTCGGGGATTCCGAGCCCGGGCGCATTTGATCCCACCACCACCGGGCAAGGCGGGCACAGGCAGCCAGGCACCGTGTCGCGGGCGCGGAGCCCGAGGCACGCGCGTCGTTCCGCGCGGGGCCCCACGCGTCAGCGAGAGGCATGTCTGTCGGGTCAAAGCATCGGAGGCCGCCGGCGCCGGACCCGCGCACGGCGCACGCGCACCCGTGCGGACGGCACCCCTACTCGATGCTTCTGCTTCGTGGGCCCTGGCGGAGGCAGTAGCCGTTCGTTCGCCGCGTGGGTACGGCCCCGCGTGTAGGTGCACCAATAATTTCCGCCGCGGGTCGTGCCCTTTCCCGAGTTGGCGAATTTGTTATTCGGTAATTAATGTTTAATCGTAGTCTAATTAGATTTAAAAGATTCATCTTATAAATTTCATCTAAACTATATAATTAATTTTATTTTTTATTTATATTTAATGCTTCGTGATTCCAAAGATTTGATGTGACAGAAAATTTTACAAAATTTTGGAAACTAAACATACACTTGGTGTTCGTCGGCTTGTGCGTTCAACTGCGTGGTCAATGCACTTTTGACTCGTCTTTCTTGCTGACTGGCTGGCTTGTGGGTCCCATTTGTTTTTTTTCAGAGCGGAGCGGCGCCGGGCTGCGGATGGACGGCGGGAGCAGCGGCGGCGGTGCTGGCTCTGGTCGTGTCGCTGACGGTGGGTCCGATGTTCGCGTGAGAGGTGGCAGGAGCCAACCTGTCAGGGTCGAGAGAGTGGTTTGATGTGATGGGAGTGTCTGCATGAAGTTGGTACATTGGCCACTGTATTTTGTGTTGTTGGCTTGTTGCAGAACATTTTGATGTTTGACTACTACGTCTGCTGTGCCTGTTATGCTATGATGGTCATTGCTTTTTTTTTTCCCTTCTTCTTTTTCATAAGGCTCTTTCCAATAGGCTACAAATTGTTTGTTTCTACATACTTTACCACTCTCAAGAGAGTAGCTAGCCCGGGCTCCGGTTCCAGCTCTGGTAGGACCTGTGTCCGTCATGACTCAACTCATGAGTGGAGAAACGGCTTCACTAGCGGAGCTGTAGAGGAGCGTCACGATTTGTGGCTTCTGCAAAGGAGCGAGAGCAAGGGCTATTTCCTGCATTAGGGCCTGTTTAGAACGCGGAAAATGTTTTCTGTTCCTGCGTTTTCCCGTGAAATTGAAATGATTTCTGTGAAATTTCTGCACGATTCCTGCGAAATTCATGCGTTCCAGACAGAGTCAGAGCCAGACCTGTTTTGTGAAGAAGCTAGCAAGAGCTGTTTTCTGATCATGCCAAACGCTCAAACAGGCCCAAAATTCATTTAGGCTAACACTTGGAACATCACTCAAATTCTCTGTACTAGCATCCCGAGATGATCTGCTTAAGCCTTCTTTTCTGGAACCAAGTAATTGCTCCATCTTCTCGTGCAAAGTGTGGGAAATAAAAAGAAGTAAAAAAATAATAATAATGTCTGCACATAGGGTACTATGGCTCTGTTTGGATCCCATGACAAAACTTTAGTCCTACACTTTGAGCCATTTTTTTTGCCACGGTGATCTAAACAGTGTGGCTAAAAGTGAACAAATGGCTAAAAACTAGGTTAAAATCTTTTCCTCCTAAAGAGGCCCTAAACTAGGCTAAACTCTCTCGGGGCGAGTGCTGGATGCCCCATACCCTTCCGCTCGCCAGTCACCCACCCGCATGGCTGTACATGAATAATTAAATGATGACAAATCAGTCATCTAGATTAAAAGACTAAAGTTTAGCCTATGAATCCAAACAGTCTAGCAGGACTAAAGTTTAGGGGCTGAACTTTAGTCCTTGACTAGTGATCCAAACACCACCTATATTCTCTTTGGTGGCGTTGTGCCATGTTGTTGCCATGGCAAACACCCTCTATTGTCCCAACATTCTTAGTACATACTGAAACCACAAAATCATCCTTAAAATTGGCTATTCGACCAATCACCAAATGGTTCGGATGAGAGCTGGTACCCTTGCCCTGATTCAATGTTGTATCCCTCAGTTCCAAATTATAAGTCACTTTGATTTTTTTTTACATATAATTTGCTACGTATATACATAGCAAATTCTATGTACCAAAAAAAAAGTTAAAGTGATACGTAGCAAATTCTATGTAAAAAAAAAATTAAAATGACTTGTAATTTGAAACAGACGGAGACGGAGTACTAACAAGGGAATTAAAATTGTGCAGCGAAGACAACCACCGGTGCCAAATCGGCCTCTGTAATTAATTTGATGCCAATGCTCTACTCCCCATGAGGCTTGTCCTGTGTGTACGTGTGTAGTACAGTTGTAGTGTGTACACCTACAGTCTTGGAAGCTCCCGATGGTCACAGTGGGCAAATCTGCTGCTGCTAGCTTATTTTATTTCCGATGGAGAAGGCCAAACTACACTATCCCCTGCAAAGAATGTTTCGAGACATTTCATTTGAATTCTATCACTTATGGAATGAAAAAAGGCATTATACGTAGAAAAGCCAAAACTTCTTATAATTTGAAATGGAAGTAGTAGTACTTAGGTAAATAATGCTGGCTAATATTTTGCTTATTAGCTAAATAGTTCATCTTGAGCTATTAATTTCAGCTAACTATTAGCTCATGGGATCTAAACAGGTCCTTAGATTGACCCAATGTAATTTCATACTGGTACTGTACTTGTTAGAGACAACAGACTTAGATGAAACATGACCCAGGCTAATTTCTTGAATATGCTGGACGTCATAACCGGAGCAAACATAAATTGTCATGACAATGGGTCTATGGGAACATAGGTAGTTCTGGTTACCACAAACTTGGAAGTAATTAGTTGCTACTAGAAAGTAGAACATTTCTGCTTCCAGACATTGATTTATACTCCAATATTAATCTCAACGTAACTTTGGAAGATAAGCCACTAGCCTTGCTTTCATTACTTCTTACTAGATATAGATAGGTATCTTCTTTCACATATATACATATGAACCTTGCAGCGAACATTCGGTGGCCAAACATATAGAATCTCTGATCTGGAGAAACTCCTTGAAAATTACAATGGAAGGAAGCAAGGCGGTCATACACTTCATGTTGATCGGGGGATGTTTCATGATTCCTACACACTGTAAGCGCACATCAAACATATCCAGGCGCATTTGGATGAAGTTACTTATTAGTTTTTAGTAAATATGAGTTGTTTCCATAATATATCCAATTCGAGAAACGACCTTAAAGTACTGTAAAAATTAGTTTTACTTTAACTAATTGTTTAAGTGAATGCCCTTATGTGCATGCAGCTCGGAATGTTGTTCATGTGTGCCCATGCGAGATCTCGACCTGCCCAAAGGGATCATCTGAAGTTGTCTGCTACTGCTGTTCATACGACAATTGTTATCCGACCATGGAGGGTTGCCGGAGAGATTGCCGCTGCCACAAAGTTCCGCATGCCCCCTAAATCTAAATGACCGTGAATCCTATTATTTATCATAAGACATAAAAAAAAAGCGGTGGCGTTTATATGATATAAATATATATGAGGTATACCTGTTCATCCATGCTTGGATCATTGCTGTGCTGTCAACAAAAACCAGCGTGACTTTTAAATTTTTATATATATAAGAAGAAAACTACAAGTGTCCGTTGATGCTTTGTAGTTCAGACAAATTTAGAATACAACGACAATATTAGCTCTATTAACAAAATATATTATTATTAACAAACATGCACGTATCGTTGCGACGGCATGTACAATATATTTTGTGGTGCTTGCACGGCTGCACCAACAATGTGCTAGTTTTTATAAAAAAATAATAATAATGAGCTAGCTATTTTTGTTAAATTTAATTAGGTCAGTCCAACCTTAAATCAATTCAAGGCATATAATAAATGCTTGTCCAATAATAATCCTATATGAGAATTTGATAGGAGACTGACTCAAGTTAAATGTGCAGCTATAATGTGCATATATTTTGTAAGTTTAAGAAAGGTGGAAGGCAAGCCATGTCCACACCCGCACCATATGACCAAGCCATGGCATAAGTGATGTGATGGCATTGAAGATTTTTGCAGTTCCAAACTTAAAAGCAATATGAGTGAGAGCGAGGACTCAAGTTGGTGCAGGACCCATGGGGATGGCATTGAAGATTTTTGCAGTTCCAAACTTAAAAGAAGAAGCGGTCAACTCTGACAGCCGATGAGTGGCGTCAAATTGGTGCACCACATCTTCAGTAGAGAAAGGAGCAGAGGGGGAAGACGGCCGATGCAGAGAAGATGAGAGCAGGGGCACACCATGGGAAGTCCCAGCTACCACCCTAGATGAATCCACCACCATGGCCACGGTCACCTCCGAGGCAACCAAGCTAGCAGCAGCATCATCACCAGGAAACCATGTCTCCCCCACAACAACTTCGCCGACCATGAGCTCCAAGTCCTGAGGCTCGGTACTCAGAGGCACACTAGAAGAATGGCAAGAAGTCGACGGAGGGTCGAGAGAAGACGAAGGCCTGAAAGTTGACAAAGAAACTCGGCAATAAGAACAAAAGAAAGAGGAAACAGATGCAAAGAGACGAAACCAGAAGTCACTCACCCGACTATCTTCTTCTTTGTAAAACACAAAGAAGACCTCGCAGGGGGAACAACGGCGGCAAAAACGTCCCGGCCACTTGGCGATAGGAGCGGTATAGCTGATACCGGAGCCCCAGAAGAAGCCGGGGCTAGAGCCGCAGAAGAACTCGGCATCAGAGGTGCGGAAGAACTCGTTACCAAGGAACTCAACACCGGAGCTTCAGAAGAAGCCGGTGTGGAAGCCTCAGAAGAACTCGTACCCGACGTCTGGTTACTTCAAAAAGATCAAGACTAAAAATCAAGACAAA